AATTGATGCTCTATGTATTTCCTGTAACATCCTTCTATTTATATACATTAACATCACGCACTTTTCGGACTGAACTAATCAAGTTTTTCCGTTCAATACTGACTTTTTGGCGACAACACGTGAAGACTCAAATCAGTCCAACAACCATCATTCATCGCATCAAATATCAACAGACAATCGCACATGTATCTGACAGAGTATGTGCCCAGCAGATGGAAAACGACGTAAACGCGAATGGAGATCGAATTCCAGCTCATCAAGTTAATATAAAAGAACAGCCATAACTATAAACTGTCTCACAGTTATGAAATATTCATTTATGTACTGCTGCGGCCACTGACTTAATTCTAGAAACTTGTTTGTACGTATGTTGTAAAGTGAATACTTTTTAAAATCATATATTATTAATTGCTTATTGTACCTGTCACAAGTCTGTAATTAAAGCTCTTCAAAAAAAAACAAAACTTACTGAGCTATTATTTCCTGTGTGAAAGGAATAAGAAGGAATCAAGCCAAGAACGAACCGGTGAATTATGTATTCCCATAATTTCCTCGATTTTCATCGGATAAAGTCCAAAGAGTCTCAATCATGCGTGCAGAAAGAATCCACGATTTAGATGAGATTTTCAGGATTTGTAAAGCTTTTAATGCTAAGTATTTTGTTTTGATGAAAATAGACTCAAAATACTTTAAGCAGTAAACGGCAAAACGAAATCTTCACAAAACTTTTTTTTGCCCAATTTCACCAATTATTTTTGATAAATTAAAACACTAAAATAAAGTCAAAAATAAAATCTAAGGGTATATTCTGATTCCTCATAACAAGGCATGCCGACTCATAGTATGCTTCAGTTCACTTTGAAAAGAAAATCGACGCTCAAATATGATCTGACTAATCACCGGTCACACAAAAAAGTGCTATCTTGCGTCTGAATTATTTCAAAAAATCGAATTATTCAATATGGTGGGATATTGTATTCGATAGAACGTCACTAGCTCTAGAATCTTGACAGTACAAAATTTTGATCGTTGTAAATACGGCTAAAATATTTAATCGGAGTATCGGTGTGCTTGTTAGTGGTTGCTTCCCACATCTACACCCCCTCAAGAAAACAGAAACAATTACTTTTGAAGTTTTTAAAAGAAATTTTACATAACTCATCTACTATTTTTTTTTGAAAAATAAATCTATATTTTAACAGATAGTGTCTTACTGCATATTATCTGATACATATCAAAGATCAAAGTATAGTGCAAACATGTGACTATTTTCTCATCAATAGACATTACATATAAATCGAAACTACGACTGAATATTAGAATCATTTTCACAATGACTTGGACTCCTTCACTTGCTATTCTGTTTTTACTTTTGGTTGCTTGTTCGATCGAAGCTGGATCAAAACAACGCCGTGAAGTATTAGTACATGATGGTATGTTCGCATTTATATACATTAAAAAGACTATTACTATTGATTTTTCTTAAGGTCAATGTCCATCTAATCATTTTCCCATTCATATTCATTGTCGTCGTCGTGTTTGTCGTCCACAAGATTTAATTCCATTGTGCAAAAGCGATGGTGACTGTTCAACAACACAAAAATGTTGTCGTCCCATGTGTTCGTGCAGATATCAATGTGTTCAAGCTATTCTTGAATAGAAATAAAGAACAAGGCTTTTAAGAGAATATTTAATAGTTATTTGAATAATATAAGTAAATAAAATTGAACTAAGGCCATTCATATTGATTTTTCACGTACACAGAAAGAAAGAATACATCAATTGTAAGCAACAATTTAAGTTTGATAATAAAAATCGAAGTAACAGAAGATATTAATGATTTGCTTAGTCATTTCTACTTTACCTTCTTTCATATATTATTATCATTTAATCATGATATCTATTAGATATATACTTTCTCAATTGAGTTATCCAATCAATAAGTGCGGATTGTATGTCCTTGGCATTAATATATATTTACTGCGATCATAGAATAAGCTTACGATCTAATTGAATGAGAAAACATCCTAAACCAAAACAAAAGATTTATGATATTTTATATACAAGTTTTCATACTTGTCGACTACAAATTTTGTTAATCTTGAAATCTTTAAGGCAAATATCGAAAAATTTTTACCACTTGAAATATTTCTTTTTCCATAATTGTATTATTTAGTCAAACAGATTATCATACTTCATATAATCCAAAATATACATATCATTTTGATTAAATAAAGAGATACTTATTGAAAAAAAGTATCGAAGTATTCTTATATATCAACTAATTAAAATAATTTCATCAATGTTATCTGAATGAAATAATCATCAACAAAATTATTCTAAACAACTAAGCGAAACTGTTTTTTTTTAATAATAATGGAATATTTATTCAAATTTATTTTTAGATCCTTCTATTTTCATAGATAAACGTTATCTATACTCTGGATGCAAAAAAAACCTTTGGTTTGATGTACAAAATTGCAAATTGTGGTGATATCATTAAGATTCTGGTCAATGGTGATAATGAATATTTATCGATGGAATCAGTCAATTTTTAAATACATACAATTGATCTTACTCAATTGTTTCTAATCAAACATAGTGTTCAACCCGCAATATGATCGAATTCGTTTCTCGTATTCGTACAATGACAAATTATTTGATTGAAAATGACTTAAATATGTGCGAAACAGACACTTTCAGATGGATCATTCCATCAGTTATCAAAGAATCTCAGCTATTGTTATTAGAACACGATGAAGAAGACGATGATAAATGTGCGAACAAGTATCAATAATGCATCCGTCAATATTTCAAATGGAGCAATTGAAAAACACGAAAAGAGAATCGGATTCCTTTTGATTAAAGCTTAACAACTAATGAACAAGTAGTACCACTCGATAATCTCCAAAATACTAATAGTAAGAAGCTATGAACCAGATAAGCATTTCGATTCAGTTCATACTCGATTATCTTTATTCTATTTGGTGCACACTTAGATAAGATCAAATGAAGATGAACTATATTCGAGTAAAGTGCTATCAGCAGGCAGTGGGAAAGAGAATTGTACCCGATCAGACAAGCAACGAAAAATAACGGGTAAAAAAGCGTAAAAACCGCACATTCTTGCGATTTTATTTTCGTTAAAAATTTTAACGCGTTTTTTGCAGAAA